AAAAAAAAAAAAAAAAAAGAAAAAAATCCCAGACCAATGTCCTGGAGCACTTCTTCCCTGTCTTCTTGTAGTAGTTTTATAGTTTCAGGTATTAGACTGAAGTCTTTAATCCATTTTGATCTGATTTTTGTATATGATGAAAGATAGGGGTCTAGTGTCATTCTTCTGCATATGGATATTCAGTTTTCTCAGCACCATTTATTGAGAGACTGTCCTTTCCCCATTATATCTCTTTGACACCTTTGTTGAAGATGAATTAGCTATAAATGTATGGATTTATATCTGGGTTCTCTATTCTGTTTCATTGATCTATATGTCTGTTTTTATGACAGTACCATGCTGATTTGGTTACTAAAGCTTTGTAGTATACTTTGAAGTCAGGTAGTGTGATGCCCACACTTTGTTCATTTTGCTCAGGATTGCTTTGGCGATTCAGAGTCTTTTGTGGGTCTATATAAATTTTAGGATCTTTTTTCTATTACTGTGATGAATGTCATTGGTATTTTGATATGGATTGCATTGAATCTGTAAATTGTTTTGGGTAGTATTGTCATTGTAACAATATTAATTCTTCCAATCCATGAGCATGGAATAGCTTTCCATTTTTTTATCCTCTTCAGTTTCTTTAATCAGTGTCTTATAGTTTTCTTTGTACAGATCTTTCACTTTTTTGGTTACATTGATTCCTAGATATTTTATATTCTTCGTAGCTTTTGTAAATGGAATTGATTTCTTTTTCAGATTGTTCTCTATTTATATAAGTACTACTGTTTTTGTATGTTGATTTTTTATCCTACGACTTTACTGAATTCGTTTATCAGTTCTAACGGTTTTTTGGTGGAGTCTTTAGATATTTCTAGGGATGAGATCACGTCATCTATAAACAAGGCTAATTTGACTTCTTTCTTTCCAATTTGGATGCCCTCTATTTCTTTCTTTTGCATAATTGCTTTGGCCAGGACTTCTAGGACTATGTTGAATAAAAGTGGTGAAAGTGCACATCCATGTCTTGTTCCAGATCTTAGAGGACAAGTCTTCAATTTCCCCCTACTCAGTGTGAGCTGTGGATTTGTTGTATATGGCCTTTATTATTTTGAGATACATTCCTTCTATACTCAGTTTGATGAAGGCTTTTACCATAAAGGGATGTTAAATTTTATCAGAAGCTTTTTTGGCATCTATTGAAATAATCATATGTTTTTTTTTGGTTCTGTTAATGTGTTTTATCACATTTATTGATTTATGTATGTTGAATCATGCTTGCATCACTGGGATAAATCTCACTTGATCATGGTAAATGATCTTTTTAATATGTTGTTGAATTTGGTCTGCTAGTATTTCATTGAGATTTTTTGTATCTATGTTCATCAATGATAATGGCCTGTGTTTTTCTTTTTTGTTGTGCCTTTATTTGGTTTTGATATCAGGGAGATGCTGGCCTTATAGAATGAGTTTAGAAGTATTCCTTCCTTTTCAATTTTTCTGAAGCGCTTGAATAGAATTGGTATTAGTTTTTCTTTAAATGTTTGGTTGAATTCAGCAGTGAAGCCATCAGATCTTGGGTTTCTCTTTGATGGGACACTTTTTTATTATGGCTTCAATCTCATTACTCATTATTGGTTTATTGAAGTTTTCTACTTCTATTCTTTTCTTTCTATCTTTCCCCTTCCTTCCTTCCTTCCTT